AAACGCTGAAAACTAACTTAAAAAACAAAGACAAAGAAAAAGTGGTCGGAGCAGTCGTGACGGCAGCCGACCTCACCGGCGCCATCTTATTATCTTATATTTCTTATATTTCAGAACAGGGATTAATTCAAAAGAAATGACCTCAATGCCATATTTTATTTAGGAACCCTAGAGAGCACTTTGAAAAATAACACATTCTTATAATTTCACCCTCAGATGAGCCAACTTCAGCCTGTCAAACATAGTAATGGAGCAGTATGTTTTAAAAAAAAAATCTAATTAAGCATGCACTCAGCACCCTAAGAATTATTATGGTAGTTAAACACAGTGATAGTCACATATCATATCACTTCAAACAGAGATGATCCAGTAATGCTGCACTAACGAATTAGACTAACTATTCAGGGATAGCTCAGTAGGTAGAGTGGTGGCCCCATGATCGGAAGGTCGGGGGTTTGATTCCCCTGAACAGCTACCCTGAGGTATCCCTGAGCAAGGTACCGTCCCTACACACTGCTCCCCGGGCGCCCAGTGGCTGCCCACTGCTTCACTGAGTGAATGGGTTAAATGCAGAGAGGGATTTTCCCCACGGGGACCAATAAAGTACACTTTCTTTCTTCTTTCACTTTAGCTAAAGTTATTAAGCTAGCTAAAGACTTGGGATGCTGTGTAAGACATAAATAAAGCTAAAACACAAAGGTTTGGACACCGTTTTGCATGTTTCCCTACTGTAGGGGTCTTTGGAAGCATACAGGGCTCTGAGAGGGTGACAACTTTGGAATTCTACTAGAAACAGTCGATCATATTTGTTGTCAAAGCTGAATCCAGGGCAAACTACGCTAAATTAGCGTTTTTAGCTAACAGCTACAATAAGCATAAAAGTTACCGTACGGCTATCATTTGTTAACATGACGCTTGTTCTTATACATGTAATACATTTATTACCAACCTGAGAGTTTATCCGCTGGTCATTCGACATGACGAATGACTTCTGAAGTCTTAATTCAGCTCATGATGCTGTCGATTCCCGTCAGTAACACTTTCGGTCCGCTAGTAAAACGTAGTTCTATTAATCTGCGCTCGATTACTCTTGAACCTGAACCGGATGTAAGTCCCAAAAAACTGGATTTTGGAAATGAAATTGAATTGTAGAACTGAAACTGAATGGTGAGAAGTGAATCTGAAATTATTTGAGAACATAAATTTTAATTGATAAAATACAGTTTCAAAACAATTGAATTCATTTTCAAAATATAAAATTCAATTTAAAGTTAGTGATGATCATTTACAAACCAATAAATTGAATTTCAAATTAGGATAATTCATATTCAGTTTTTAAAAGCATTTATTCAAGTTACAATTCAGATTCAATCCAAGCAATTCAAATTCAAATTTAACTTATTCAAATACAGTTTCTGATGGCACAGATTTCTGCCCATAGGAGTCACTCTGCAGGTGCGGCTGAGAAGGTTCAGTTGATTATAATGTAACTTGTTTCCACACAGCACACTTGATATTTTTCATATGCTTATACTTACAAGTACTTATATTATAAAAAACAGTGATAGAGGGACTTGAAAATGGATAGTTTTACCTTTATAATAATTTTGTTTACAAGTTCCTGTTGTAATGAAATACTTTTATTTAAGTATTAGAGACGTCATAGAACAATGAGGCACTTTGTCATTTTGATCTGAGGGATGACGTGAGCAGCAGCAGAGAAGCTGTAGCAGCAGTTACTTTCAGCAACCACAATCTGCTGTATCTTGTCTGTACACAGACGTTTGTGTTAATTTTACCTCATGAATCACATCCAATTTTTATACAGTGGAATTAAAAGAAAAAAGAATCAGTCATTGCAATTTGTGTTCTATTGTCCTAGTTGTCCAATACTAGGCAGATTAGAATTATATTATGACATTAGAAATTAAAATTCTAATATCAAGCTCACGATGTGAAAAAAAAATTCTGCTGCTGTTAACAGCAGGATGCCAATTTTCTGTAACTGGGGAAAAAGGAAAGGAGCGATGGGATGGAGGTGTGCATATTTCAGGGAAGATGTGGTGAAAGTAAAACACTGATTTTGATCGAGTTCAAAATCACCAACACTGTCTAATTTTTGCACTGAATCCAACTCAGCCTACATTTCACTCAGAGCTGAAAGTTTTCACATTCCTCACTCTGTATGGAATTTCCTCTCCTGTTCCTTCATTGTACCCCTTAGAGGGTAATTAATTAATTAGTAAGTATGTCATGAGTCATCACGTTGGGATGTATTATTGTGTGTATTGTAGTGTAGTGTAGGGTCTGCCTTACAACATAAAGCGCCTTAAGGTGACTGCTGTTGTGATTTGGCGCTGTATAAATAAAACTGGTTTGAACTGAACTGAACTGACGTATAGTTGCACTTCTAAGAAGCTATATAATGTGGTTGAATTACTGGAGTCTTCTTACGGTAGAGATATTATATACTGTTTCTATGAATATGTAAAACTGAAGAATAAAGTACATCAGAAAAAGTGATAGTCCTGCTTCTAGTAAAAACAGTCTCTTTTTTCCATTCAAGAAACTGCCCTTAGATGCTTAACTAATAATCTTAATTATTTCATATTTGTCTAAAACAACGTTAATACGAAAAAATGCATAAAATATCCCAACAATTGTTGTAATAATTTTTATTTTTTTTATATATGTATTTTGTAACTAACCCTAAACTCCTTCATGTCAAGCATGTGCATGCTACAAAAATATGGCAACTTTAAATAATTAAGCATTAACTGCAGAAAATAGCAGATGTTTTGGGACATTCACCTAGCTCATATTTGGATTTAATTTTAGCAACCATTCAGTGGCATGACTTACTCTTTTCTCCAGCTTTGCACTTAGGTAATGCTAATGCCAATATATAATATAATATACAGCATAACTGTATTGGCTTTACATAAAATATTCAAAAGACTAATGTAGTTATTTTTCATAAGATTGTTTTCATTATGTATGATGATCATTTTTACGCAGGAATTTGTCATAACTTTGAATAAACCCTAACTCTTTCGTTGCACACTTAAATACAATCAAAGGGTTTAGTTTTTTGGACAGATGTTGTATGCAGTTTATTTTGAAAAAGTTTTTTGTCTTTTGAATATTTATAATTTCCCATGAATAAAAAAAAGTATTTCTTATCCAACTACTCAATTAATCAAAGGAATAATCGATACTCTATTATTAAAACAATCATCCCTAGTTACAAGTATTTAGGTCAAGTTTGTTTATTATAGCACATTTCCAAACAGTGCTTAACACTGTAAAATGCCACTAAAATAAATAAAATGCACAACAATGATGCAGTAAAATATAGAAAAACAAATAAATACAATATGTCAATAAAAACAACTAAAACAACAACAACAACTAAGGCTATTAAAGTCAATGTGTGTTAAAAATCCAGACCACAAAAATGTCTCTTTATTAACAATTTGAAATGTTTGAGCGTTTGTGCAGATCTAATATCAGGAGGAAGACTATTCCAGGCTCTGTCACCACAACGAGTTTAGACTGTGGAACAGTTAAAGGTTGGTTAAAACATATTCTTGGATTGCTGTAGAAAGTGCTTGAAAGGTCCAGGTCAAAACTAAGCCTAAAAATGGTTGTGTGGCTCTGGGGAGAGCGGCCAAAGTGCACAACTGGGAACCTGACAAAGAGTGAGTGTGTGGGGTCAAGGGGTTAATCTGGCTCTCGTTTAATTCTTATCTTTTAAATTCACTGATGGATAAAAAAAAATACCCTCAAACTGCCTGCTGGATCTTTTAATCTGGTAGATTTAATCTTGTGTACCTTGGACAGCACTAGCACAGAGAAAGGATGAGCAAGAGCATAATACAGTAGAACACAATGTATGTATAGAGGAGTCACCAGTTACACCAATACAAAACATACTCTGATATATTTGTGTTTAATTCATTTATATTGTGATAATTATTGCCAGCTTTTTTGAATCAGTCAGCCCCTAACACTTCTAGAGTAAGCTTGTTCACTTCCTGTTCAATAACATCAGGTGTACACCTCTAATAAAACATCTGAAGATCCAGCGGCATCACGCTCTGTTACAGGCACAAATTAGACTGCTCGTATTATTTTCAAACACTGTTTAAAAAAGCTCTTTCTCTCTGAAGGTCTGACACTTTTTATTAGTTTCTTTTAATTTTATAAGTCCAAAGCAAATTTTTCAGAAATATAGAATGAAATGTGAAGACGGATAAAACACAGATCATAAAAAAACGTACAGATTGGGTGTAAAGATGTCTAAATCAAACCTTGACCTTTACACAAGACTTACACTAGACCTCTTTATGAAAGCTGTCATTATTGTTTCAATATAAAAGTGTTTTTTACTTGGAGAAAGTAAAACCCAACAGAAGCTTTTCAGTGATCTATTCTTTATGCGCACAGTGCCTGAAAAAGCTCATTTTGTCTGCTAACAAACAAATTCTTTATGGTTGTAGTGGTAGCTCACAGGTATTAGAATTTGCTGAAAAACGATGCCCACGTTCAGCAACATGTTGGCCAGATAAAAGAAGATGGGGAAAAAATAAACAGGAAGAAAGGAAGAGCCTGTGTCCTTACTACATGAGAGGCTTGCGGCAAAGCACCAGGGCGTCGTAGAGCAAGCACACTCCAAACACGGTGATGCCTGTCTCTTTCACCAGCATGGCGCAGGTGCCCAGCAGCAAACTGAGGAACAGCGAAGATGACGACACCGTGAAGGCCAGCGAGTCCTCAGAGACACGCCCACTCACACTCCTGAGAGAGGAGACGAGACAAAAGTATGAGAGAACAAAACAGCTCGGCTTTTGTAAAGTCACTAGCTTCAGGACAGCTTCTGTTCGTTAAATGTGACGTGGCAGTCATGTTGCAGCACGTCTAACACAACGACAGAAATCACTTGTTACATTAGCTAAATTTAGATGTTTTTTATGGCTGTAATTAAGAACTGTCAGACCTGCGTGTTCATAAGCTTTTATATGTTCAGCTGATATACTGAACATATAAATTATACACTAATAGGCTGTAACACTTCCTGTATGTAAATGAGACTAAACATGATGTTTTTATGAACAATTTTCCATCCATCCCGTAACAAATCTAACTACGGTAACAGTAAAAGTACTCTGTAAAATCTTATGTGCTTTGAGATTCTGTTCACTTTTTAAACACCAAGCTGTAATCATAAACCTCACAAAGTCATATGCATTACACGACTGAACATGAGTAACAAAACCGTTTAACATTTTCACTCACTTGTTAAAAATAATTCAGTATTACAACCACCCGTTTGTAGGAGCTTTTCAAGTTTATTCTATTCACTCAATCTGCATCAGTCTCTCAGGCAGGCCAATCTAATTTACAGTTGCAAATGTGCATAGAGAGGTTGAGGATGGTGTTGTCTTACAATAATCTAATATCTTACCTAATATAGGAGATGAATGTCAGCAAAAACAGCAGACAGGCCAACACATCAGCTCTACCCACGATACCAGACACCTGCGAAAGAGACGTGCACAGATTTGAGAGATTACGCATGTGCCAGAATGCTCCATTGAGGACACACTGCTGGATGTCTATGTGCAGCCCATTACTGTTGCTATGCTACAGTGAGCTGCACATCACTGTCTCAGTAGAACCAGCCTCTGTACTTTCCTTTCAAACCTTGAGAGCGATACGCAGTGTGACCATGGCTCATGGTTACTGGTGCCAAGAATAAGTATTAAGGCTTTTCTATAATGTCTGATCACACACGTGTTTCCGTTGGGCAAGCATGATTTGTTCATAAACAATTCTCCCCAGAACTTTACTTAGACTAACAGGTCTGCTACTGACACCATTAAAAACAGCATTCTTATTTTTTGGAATTGGAATTCTTTCCGATTCATTCCACTGCGATGGAAATAAGCTGCATGCCAAACATCTATGTGATGTATAGGAAGGGACACAAACTTGGCTGCAGCTTTGAGCAGTTTACTGTCTATGTTATCAGAACCTGAAGATGTATCATCAGGAAGTGATATTAATAAACGCTCCATCGTCTCACCATTCACTGCCTCAAACTTAAATTGGCATTGCTTATTATCCATGATAGCATGATAGGATGGGCTCTCCTCTGCTCATTTTAAATTTGTTATTTTATTGCTGTAGTAAATCTTGACATATATCCTTAGCTTTACTTATAAACATTCCATCTGTGCTGATGTGTGGCACCACCAGAGCATCACTCTGCCCATTATATTGGTTAAAACTTTCCACATCTTCTTGCTGTCCTTATTGGCCTCCTTGAGCTCATGCTGATAATATAAATTCTTCTTATTAAAATATTTGTCTGTGTTAAAGTTTATGTATGATCTACGAAAAACAATCTCTCATGCAGTTTTCAGTGGTTTCATTTTCTTGGTCAAGCCTACAAGATTATGGTCACTATAACTAACTGGAACAGAGACAATGTTTAAACATTGTTCAGGAACATTTGTATATATATATGATCAATACAAGATGATGACCTATGACCTGCCTCTGTTGACCGTCATCTGCGTGGGAATGATTACCATCTGAGACAGACAGCAGTAGATGCTAATGAACTCTTCTTTTTCCTTAAAGGACAAGAAGTAGATGACCAATTAATATTAAAATCTCCAAATAAAAATATGTCCTTGTCTTCCATCTTTCCAACATTTCACAGATTCGTTCTACATACAACGTATTGCTACTAGGGAGTCTGTAGCAGCAACCTACCAATAACAGCGTGCCATGGAGCGGGTGTAACTGAACCCACACGATTTCCAGATCGTCAAACATTAAGTTCATACGTAGTTTGCTTGCCACATTGTCATTAATATATATAAGGCAACACCCCCTCCAAATCTGTTTAAGTCTTTCCTATACAACTTATAACCATTCATTTCAAATTCATTATTCTCAAAGGCAGCACCTAAATGTGTCTCAGAAATGAGTTTGTTGACAGCAATGACTGAATTTCCTGAAACTTATATTTAAGGCTACAAATACTACCATGAGCTACTGAAAAATATTTTGCGGAGAATCCGGGAATAAACTGATCAACCATAACGGCTAGAAATCAGAATCAGCATTCTGATTCTGATTTCTAGCCGTTAAATGGCAATATTACTGAAAGTGTAAGTGTTAAATCCAGCATTCCGGGACCTCGGTTTAACAATAAATTTATCATGTTTCAGGACGGCAATATCACCTCTGTCTCTGGCCACTCTCAGCTGTAGTAATAGTTCTTTCCTCTTCTTCCTGATCATTGTAACCTGACCACAATCTGCCTGGCTCAGCCATACGTGACCGCGTTCGATTTGAACGTGTTGCTGTCGCGGCCCTGCTGGTTCTTCAGCAAGTGTTGGACTTTATGAGCCACTTTTTTTTTTTACTGTGTTACCGCAAAGAGCCACATCATACGCATGGGCACACATGAACATCACCCATCCTTTCCTCCCTCTCTCTCTCTCACACACACACACACACACACACACACACACACACATCTCTGCTCAGCCAGATTTATTGTAAATGTCACACACCAACATGATAATGACAGAAATGGACTCCTACAGTACTAAAACCACAGGCCAGTCATTTTCAACAATGAACATTGTGTGCACTGTCTCACACACACAAACTCTCAGTTTAACCAAGTCCACAAACAAAAATATAATAATCTACAATAGCATTTACTTCTACAATGCATGTTGTTTAGTGGGACTTCTGGCATTCCTTGCCTTGAACAATCCTCTTCAAATCTGGCTTGTATTCTGTTGTTGCCACTCGAAGCAATTCTTTCACATGAGTGTCAGTCAGAACAGATCGATGCTTTGATTTCACAGACTCGCAGACGTATGTTGACCCAAACATTGACAGTATCTTAAGCGCGGCCCATTTGACATTGGGGTATTTTTCCATTGGCACACTTTTCCAGAACTCAATGGTCCCTTCCCTTAAAGCAGGTTTCAATTGGTCCTCTTCACAAAGATCGATCATCTCCAAATCAGCCGCAGCTTCATCTGTGACTAGCGGGACTTTCAAACAGCCGGTCTCTGCATTAAATCGGTCGACGAGGAACGTAATCTGTGGCCTTTTCAATTGTAGATCATGGAACCGGGTCACGAAGCTTTCGTGCAAGTTTTCAATCAGCGTTGCATATCTGGCTCTTTGCTTACTCAGGGCAGCGCTGGCGACTTGCCTGCTGGCTTTTAGCAGTGGGAAAATGCTATAACTCCCTTTTGAATATGTGTCTTGAACAGCTTCAGTTTGTTGACAAACGCAAACACACTTTGCACCAGGTCAGGCAGCATTTTTAACTTACCCTGCAGGGTCAGGTTCAGTCTGTCCAAGTGACACAGCATGTCGACCAAAAAGGCCAGATCCATAATCCACTTGAGGAGAAGCGAGAGAGTACCTGGCCTTTTGACAGCCACCTCACAGTGCAGTGCAGCGGCAGGTCACCTGGAAGCCCTTGGTCCAGCTCAGCAATGAGATTCTTGAATTGCCTGTGGCTAAGCGCATGTGTGCGGATATAGTTGACGATTTCCATCACAGGCTTCGTGACGTTATCTAAATTCAATGATTTAGACACGAGTTGCTCCATGTGGATGATGCAGTGGAAAATCCAAAAGTCAGGAATAGTTTGGTCAGCTTTGCACAGCCCCACAAGCCCGTTCACAGATCCCATCATGGCTGGTGCTCCATCCGTGGCTATTGCAGTTAATTTCGTTATGGGCAGATTTGCTTTTTCAAATGCAGCCATCATGGTTTGTTCACATCTATGCCACGGGTTCTGTCTTTTAATGGCACAATATCCAGGAGTTCTTCTTTGATCACACAATCGTTTGACACAGACCGTGCAAATATTGCCAACTGAGGCTTGTCTTCTATATCACAACTCTCATCCAAAGCGACACTAAAATACTCACATGCTTGAAGGTCAGAGTGCAACTGTGATTCAATAGCCGTGTTAATGTCCGATATTCTGTGTTCAACAGTGTGGCGGGACAGTTGCACGTCTGATACCACGCGGTTTAATTTGTTGTTTTCAGGAGACAAGATTTCAACAACGTCACTGAGGCATTTTTTAACGAACTCCCCTTCATTGTATGGCTTTTTAGCCCGTGCAATGTTCCAAGCCAGCTGATAGGATGCGAGCGTTATGGTCTCTAACCGCTTCGTAAATTTTTGGAAAAACTGTATCTGCTTTTCTGCCTGACTTTTCAAAGTGTGCTTGTGAAGTTCAGTCCCTTTTGGAAATTCCTGGTCGATGTTAGCATGGAGTGAGCTGAAGTGGCGCTGAAGATTTGAAGCTTTGAAATGCACTAATGACGTCTGACATATAAGGCAGAATGGCTTGCCATTGCGTTCAACAAAAAAAATATAAACTCTCCCACTCTGTTAAAAACGTCCTGTGTTCATCTTCATATTTTCTTTTCGCTGTGCATTTTTTCCCTGCCATTTTAAGGGCGAACTTGCTCCTACTGGGAAGCTTTGCAGTATTTTCATCTCACACACATGGCCATTTGATGAAAATACAGTATTGAACTCAAGTGAAGCGAACGTGCACATTTTAAAACAAAAACACAAAAAAACCTCAAAACACAAACACAATCTTTGATATGAACGTAAGAGCCGCATGAAACCAGGCAAAGAGCCGCATGCGGCTGGAGAGCCACGGGTTGGCCACCCCTGCTCTAATGCTTCCCAAGTTTCTGCATGTTCGTCTATTAATCCATCCACCACGATGTTATTCCTCCTCTATTCATTTTCTAAACAATCCAACTTGGTTGTTAACTCTTTGGTTTCCCCGCATATGCTGCTGACCACTAATTCAAACTCTTTCTTTCAATTTGCTTTTAATACTTTTCTCTTTGGTTTGCAGCTGACCGACAACACCATCCGTGAATTGCAGGCTGGACTTAACATCCTGTACATCCTTCAGAATGCTGTCTAAACTTTTGTTAGTTCTGTCTACAATTAATTGAACAAATGACTTGAAGTCATCTTGCTGACTTTGTTCCTGGTGAACATTACTTGTGCCAAACACTGGATGATGATCTTCAGCTTTCCAAGGGCAAGCTATTTAGATTTTTGTCAATTAACCTACTGTTACTTGTCCAGACTGCTTGCGTTTTAAGTGGAGGGGCACACACTTTGAGCATTACGTGATCATGTTCACATGGTTGTGGGAAGCCAAAATCATGTTTATGATTAAAATATGTATAACTGTGCAGCCCTGGCACTAACGGATCGCCATGCTCATGGAAACATGAGCATAAAATGTCACGATCATTAACGTCAGCCCCTCAGGCCATCCTCACGAAGTCTGTTTGACAACACTCACACCAGTGGCCTGGTAGAGGTCAGTTTTTAGGCTTCTGTTAGTGCTCATCCTGTTTCTACTTGCAGAGAGGAGCAGATACCGGTCTTGATGATGGGTTAAGGAAAGTCTATGGCTCTGTCCTGCTCAGTATTACTGCCTGTTT